CATATATGTAAAAAAAAAAATGTGTTACCTCCAAAATCCATTCCAGACTCTTATCCCAGATAGGGATCTGGTGTGAATTTAAGAATCAGAGCCCCCTTTCTTATCAGAATCCCCCCTTTCACTTCAGAGTCCCCTTTGACATCAGGAGCCCCCCTTCACATTAGGAGAATGTTTCACATCAGTAGCCCCCTCCTTTCACATCATAGTCACCTCCTCTCTCAGTAGGAGCCCCCTTCACATCAGAAGCCCTCCTCCACATCAGGAGACCTCTTCAGATTAAGGGCATGGTGCTGACTGATATGCACCCTTGAGGATGCCAGAAAGCACCCTGGTTGAGAAGCGAGGTGCTAAAGTTGAGATCTCATTGGTGCCATGGATTTCCTGGCGGGAGGTGTATGTTGAGGATTTTTAATTAATACAACTGAATTAAATGTGTTTATTTAACACATTTATTGTGTTTATGTTCTGATTTCCATATTTATGGACCTAGAAAGTATTGGAGAGTCTGAAGAAAATGTAAATTCTTTATTTGATGATAGGCTCATCTGTGTACAGGTGGCCCTCGGTTTACAACGGTTCAATTTGCACTGATTCAAAAGAGCATCCTTTTCTGGGAGTGTTGTAAATTGAAACCAAATATATAATGCATGTCAATGGGAAGTGAGGCAGTTAGGTTCCAGGCTTCTCAAAACAAGCAATGGTCCTAAAAAGAAACTGGTGTACATTCAAACCTAGTAAATGTAAGTCAGTGGAAAGTGAGTAAGTTAGGTTTCAAGCCTCTCTCATTGACATAAATTGACAAAGGTAACATAATACAGGTACATTTTATTTAAAGCTCCTTGTGTGAGCTCATGCAGCATCTTTAAATATAACTTACTTGTATTTTATTATTTCTGTGTATACAGCACTCATATGCCCTAATGGTATTGTATTGGCCTGCAGACCATCCAGTGAATAACAAAGGCAGGACTGCCCCTTAATTAAAGCAGCAGTTAAAGTATGCTTCTTTTTGAGTCATGTTGGGGTGGGGGGTAGGGTGGCAGGCAGACCATTATGGCCACTCTGCTGCACCATGCTAGAAGTGTGCCTGCCACTCCCTTTCCGGCCAGACAGTGGTGGGGAGATATGTAAGGGCCATACACATCTCCCCAGCCAGCTCTTAGGAACATAGGACGCTCTGGCAGGCAACCAGTGATGCCAGGAGCAGGGCAGTTGCCAGGAGCTGGGCCCAGCTCCGGAAGTTGCCAGGAGCTGGTCGGGGCGCAGGCCAGAGCATCCCAGGTTTCTATGAGCTGGCCGGGGAGATGTGTATGGCTCTTATATATCTCCCCACTGCACTGATTGATTGCATGCACTTCCAGCTGTATTATAACATCTAGGGATATGTAATAGGATTTACAGCCAAAAGACAAGCCTTGCACAGGGTGTGCAAACGTTTCCAAAGTTTCATCCACAATGTGCATAAATCTACTGCTTTGCGCAGCTGCTAAGGCATGCAGGTAGGCTATGTTCTCTCTGTGTTGCTCCATAGTAGCTAAATGCAAACCAAACGGCAGTGTAAAGAGACATTAGACTGTCCGCCACATTCAAGAACCGCTTTATGCTTTGACATAGCTCCCTTGGACCTCAATCCTTCCAAGCAGTATGGTCACAAGCAGATTCAGATCCATCCACAAAAAGCCTAACTCTCCAAAAAGACACAAAAGCTTTAATCCAATGTAGTTTTACTTCTCAAAGTACATACAGAGGATGTTCTCTGGTCACATGAAGTGTAAAAAGACAATTGATCATCCAAGTCAAGTGTCTGCAATAAGGGCTAACAATACAAATGAGGGAACATGGCAGAACCAGGGATGGTCTATCTAGGACTATATCAAGTTACACTAAACATGAGGGAGGTACAGTGGAAGATACCAATGTATACAGAAAAATAAGTTGTAGTAGCGCTAATCTACCACTAGATGTAAGACATACACCATAACATAATAATATGCACTGTAAAAGACAATAGCAGAAAATATCAGTGGCTGAGGCAGCATAGACAGCAAAGACAGTTCTTCTTGCAGACATATGTATAAGACTTAGTAACACTACTTTATAAAAGCCTAATGATTCATTCCTGTTTTCATTCAGTTTTTCTTTTAATTTGCTAAAGGTTTTATGGGACAGAAATGTCTGCATGTGTGTTATGGTATCAGTTTTGCCATTTTGTATGTAATAGGCAGTTCAAATATGGCACATAGGCAATTCAGTAGTTGCAAACTTTAAACAATAATTAAATATATATATATATATATGTGTGTGTGTGTGTGTGTGTGTACAATACTTATTTTTAAAGTGTTGCGTGTTAAACAATTGTCTTTTCTAGTTAACATACTTTTATTTTTAAAAAATTGGCCATCTCAGTGCGGCTGATCTCCTGAAGTATGTTTGTAGCCACTTCCTGCATACATCCACTCCAGCGATGGCTGCATTGAGGTTTGCTAATTGTGACAACAGTGGACCATGCCTGCCTAACGTGCTGAAACATCCACTTGAATTCTTAATTTAAAGCCAGAGTGCACAACTGAGAGACAGGGCAGAACATTGACATACTCATACCTCCCTACAGTCGTGGATTCAGCTGGAATGTCCTGCAGAAAAGGTTTTTAAGCTATTTCAAATGCTGATGAAATCACTTACAATAGATGGTGTTCCTTGTGTTTAAAAGTTTTAGTTTCCTGCAGAATTAGCTGGTCCCTTGAGCACTGATCCTGATATTTTAGGGTAGCTCCTTTCCCTTGCAAGCGTCTAGGGAGCCACCCTTGTGTGTGCACTGCTAGTAAGCTGCGTATGTCTCCACAAACACACAGGCACAAGATACTCTATTCCCCTGCTGCTCCCTTCATTCTCTGCAATGTATATTTGTTTGATATGGATTCTTTTAAAAAAAAAAGTTCGTGAGTTTAATACTATGTTTAAGTCCTGCAGCTTGCTGCTGTAATGGGGCAGCAGGAATCTTTCTCCTGTGTGCGGGGGAACAGAGGACCTGGTGTTGTGTGCAGAGAGGTGTACAGCCAGTGTTGTATGTGCAGAGCTGTGCCAGGAGCTTCTAATGAAATGTGGGGCGATATGCTGCAGGAAGTCTCTGCTGGGGAGATGGGTGAGAAGTGGACATTTTGACTAGGGAGGTCTGTGATTACTTTCCCACCACATTCTTCCAGATTTGTTTTACTAATACTGTGTGTGTATATATATTGTGGTATTGTGTGGCAATCCCACTGTAGAATTTGGATGTGATGATCACCTGGGACTCTCAGCCAGATGGGCTGAGACGTGTCAGGAAGCAAGGGATTGTCTGGATTCTGCTTGGGATCCTGGAACTGGGAGGTTTCAAGGTGATTCTGGAGGAAAGATGAGATCCCTAGTCCTGGGTCCAGGCTTTAGCAGTGGCCAGCACTAGATAATTGCACAGGTGTGCACAGCCATTAAGGAAAGTATGCTGGCTAGGGAAATTAGCTCCTGCTGGGAAAGAGGAACAGACCGTGTTCAGGTGTCAGGAGAACACCCCCCAGAAGTCAGAGAGGAGTCAGGTGGTGAGTGTGCTGGAGGCACACTAAGACTGCCAGGGAGGCTGGGAGATAACTGGTGAGGCTAGAAGAGCCGTGAGCCTGAGGGGCCGCCAGTATCAGCGTGGGTCAGCACTTCAAAGGGGACCAGTGTGTCGGAAGTGCTACTGTTTAAAGTGGAAGCCAGGAGGCTGCTATTGTTTTGTTTTGAAGCCTTGATGAAGTCTTCTTGCACATATCATTGAGTGCTGGTGACTTCTATTATGGACTGTATCTGACACGGCGCCATCCGTGTTGTCACTTCCAGCACCAACCTCTTACTCAAGGTCTGTACGCTGTTTGGAGTGCAGGTGATTTTGTATTATCGTGTGTGTATATAGCATGCTGCAGCTTCTCTTCATGTCCCTAGGGTATCCTTTCTCACAAGTTAGGAGGTATGCATACTCTAATAGGAGGTGCCTAAATAAGGATGTTAATGGCAGGATCACCAGGTAATATTTTAAAACAGGCTGCAGATTTAAAAATGTTGAAAATGTTTTTGAAATTCCATTAAAAATACTAAAGCTTATGGAAAGAAATGTAGGGTATTTTATATTTTAGTCCTACGGCAACTCTTTTTTTCATTGCTATAGGCACCACCTGCTCTTGTGCTCTAGTTTCCCCTAAACCAGTCACTGTACTGCTCCTATACTGCCAAAGGTTTAGTGATACATTGGCAGTGTAAGCCTGCCTGAATCAATCACATTCTTAGGAGCTGATGGAGAACAGGGATGGGGCTGCTAGCCAGGGAATGTTTGTTTTTTATGTTATAGAATATGCATTTCAGTTCACTTTCATCTCCTTCCATGCTCTTCCCCCATGCATTGCAGGCTCATATTTACTGAGCAGAAAGCACACAAGACCTCTGGTCACATAAAGCAGGATTTTAATCACAGGCTTGCAGTCAGCCTGCCAGCAAAAAAAAGCCTATTGTGTATATATAAGCGGCAATGCTGCAAGCAGGCGCTCAGTCTTCAGTGAGCCACAGTGTGCTTTCTCTGGTGTGCACAGCAACACAGACACTGTTTGATGGGCTGCTGCAAGGCATTAGGAGGGAGAAGAGGAAGGAGGGGAAAACATAATTCCCAATTCTGAAGAGGAGGAGGGAAACATGAGTAACATTGCCCTGTAGGAGGAAGAGGCAATCCTTCACCCTTTGGATAGCACTGTGAAAAACCATGAGCTGGTGGAACAGCTCTATAAAAAAAAAGTGCCTTCTTCAGGGAGCTGACAGGTGATGGATTGGTTGCTGGAAATACTCAGTTACTATGCTATTTAAACTTTTGAAGTTTTCCCTGCTGTACATCTGGATTGTGGTCACATGGGTCTCAGACCAGCCATGTGAAACTGACTGGCTGAACCAGGGGACTTGTGGAATTAAGACGAGTAGTCTCAATCAGGAACTTCAGCACCATGGACAGAAGACTCAATATCACTCCGGAAACCTTCAACCAGCTGCTAAAAGAACACAATATGAGCAGGCTGGAGTTCATTGCAGCCTATGGACTCAAGCCCTTGGTTTACATCCCAGAGCTACCCCTCAATGCCAAGGTCATCTTTCTGGTTCTTTATATTATTATCTTCATCTTGGCTTTGTTTGGCAATAGCCTTGTGGTCTATATCATTATCAGGAAGAAGGCAATGAGAACAGCCACTAATATCTTCATCTGTTCTCTGGCTTGCAGTGACTTGCTAGTAACTTTCTTTTGTATCCCTTTCACTTTGCTGCAGAATATTTCATCTGAGTGGCTGGGAGGTAAGATGCACCTATTTTCTTTATAGTCTGCAATTCTTTTTTGCAATGCATTTGTTTACTATCCCTCATCTTGCAGATGCATGAGAGAAGTTGTAGGACAAGAGGTCCTATCTAACATCAGTTAGTGGAAATGTCAAACGTTAGAAGGGATTTTAACAAATGCATAGTAGATTCTGGGAGTCAACTGCTAGCATAGTAGATTCTGGGGGTCAACTTCCAGCAGAGTAGATAAAGTAAAACTGCCCAAGAGCAAAGAAGCCTTGAATTAACACATTTATAAGTCAAGTAGGCAGATCGGTATGGACCACTAGCACCCTCATGAAATATAAAAGGCTGTCATGATCTCTGAAATGTGGCTTTCAGCCTTTGGGCTTCTTGTTATGAGTTGGATTTGCTGTGTACTAGGTTGTAAGTTAACATTTCAAGAATACACCTTTTTTTGCAGCAGGCATATTTACTGAGTTTATGCAGGAATCAATAACAACTCTAGCAGCCTCATTCAGTATGGGTTACAAATGTGTTAAAAGTGTTCATATCAGATTGTTTACACTTTGCAAATTGCCAGTAAAATGGTCCTTTGCATGCCTGTTGCATCTACATTGTCCTGCTATGCAATAGTTTCTCTGCTACCAAGTTTGGATGTTTGGGAGGCACTTACTGAGAACCCTTCCTCCAGAGAAGTTGGGACTCGGCAAGACCACAGTGTTCCAAGTTTGGGCTGAATTTGTAATTCAATTTTTCTTGTAGCATAATTTTTGAATTCCTATACTCACACATCTGAGTTGTCTGACTGGGTTTTGTCAGATTTCTACTGGATTTCCAGGTTGCATCTTCTGCCATTACTTGATATGATTGCTTTCAGAATATGTTACAAGGATCTCTTGTTAAAATAGTTAAATGTGCACTCAGTATATTATGGACTGAGCATCATCCTTGCATGTCTATACCCTCCCACATACACACACTGTAGAGACATAGACACAATGTAAAGCTGAGGGTGGGGGTATGCAGTTTCAGCATTAGACCTTTTACTGTAGACTCTTGTCTTATCTGTAGTACGGATGCAAGTGCTTGTACTTATATAAAATATCACCTTGATAAGCTGTAACATTAATCATTATTACTATAGATTTCATTAAGCTGTAACATTAGTCATTATCACTATAGATTTCTTTTTAGGAGAATAATAAACAGATCGATGTAAAAATAAGCTGGCAGTGAGTTGAAGCTGATTTAAATGGATTACATATAGAAAATGACACATTGTCATTGAGACTTAAAAGCAAAGGGCAGCATGTGTTCAGATGATGAATATCTACTGTGTTGCATCCAGGTCCTCTAAGATGGAGTGACCTGTCTTTATAATTGCTAAAGAAAGACCAGAATATCAAACACCATGGGATTATTGTATATAGGACACCAATCATGTAGAAACTCTCCATGATGATACTAGGAACCCAGGAGACCGATAGATACAGGGGCTCTGCAATGACAGGTTATGGTGTCTGAGCTCATAGATCTCCATTGTCTGCTTTCCCCCAAATACATTTACATGTTAATAGCATATTCAGCAGATTGCAACAAGGTGACCCAGTCAGCAGAGCACCATAGTGTCATACGTGCTGTCATTAGTGGAGCACAATGAGGCAGTGCTTTTCTAAATCTGGTAACTGACAAAGTTTGTTTCAAATTGACAAGTTCAGCACTTTTCATCACATTATGCCGGCATACCACTACCAAGGTCAATGTACTTTCTGTAACAAGACAAAGAGCAAACCATATTAAGTAACCAGAAATGACCGAATCATTTTCCTGATTTCCTTGCCTATGCATCATTGCTCTTTGTACTGTGCTCATGAATAATGCCATTATTATAACAAATGCAAACAAGGTAAATGTCACATTCAGGGACATAATGATTCCACACTCTTTACTTAATATTGTTCAGTTACTTTAACCTATAGTATGGGTGTTTCATTTCTATTACATGCAAGAGCACTAAAACAACAATGGTAGATTCTCACTGTCTTCTATGACCCGATTTGATCCCCTGATCAATACTTGATCATTTTATTATTTATTATAAAAAGTATTGTTCTTTTGTTCACCTGTGTACTAGATATACAATTGCCCTCATCATGTCTGCAATGTTCCTGTTGAAATTACCCACATTTTCCAGCATGCTTTATGAAAAAAGAAATCTGTAGGTAAACAATGAGGAACAATGTATGGCTTGGTCTCTATATTGCTGGCACACCTAAATACCTTTTATAAATGATTTGCTTTTGCATTGCCTTACTGCATCAGACTGCATATGTACATTGCATATGAACAATTATTATATAAAACACAGCTTTGTCTGAAGGTTCATTTTGAATGAGTTGCTGCACATCAATACTCCTTGTGCTGTCATATTTAATTAGCTCAATAAATGAATGTTGTATATGTGTCCTGATTTGTCATGGTAGACAGCCTGTAAGTCCTCAGCTGTGGTTGAACTGTAAATCCCAGCATGCTCTGCCAGCAGGCTTATTTGTGTTATAGACAGTGATAAGCACTCCTCTTCGTTGTCACAATAAGATTTCTGTCCCGTGTTTGACACCTTCATGTGTGTGATTTAGACAGCTCCATCTCCTTTTTGTCATTTCCTATCGCAATAATCCATTGGATCCTTCAGAATTAATTAGATGCTCAGACTTTATCCTGGCAAGATAACGATATAAGTAGCACAATCACATTCACTTGTCACGCCGAGGGCTCATGCAAAGCAAACAATATGACGTATGCTATCTGTCCACATCTCCCCATTTCTCTTCCTTGCCTGAATAATTATTTACCCCCTACCAACCAGAGGGGAACATTTATCTCAGACTCGCTGATTTTTTTACCCCCTGCCCATCATCTTATCTCTGTCTGTAAAAGGATGTTCTTGGTCTTAGGGGTCTGTGCCGTTGAACTCTCTGAGTGTTCTGCCATACAGTTGATTCTGTATTCACTGTGCTTTTGAGAATCACCTTTCCTACAAATGTTAGTCGGTTGAAGAGACCCTTGAGTATTGCCACTGATTGCTCAACACTAATTGTTCCTGACAATCCAGAAATTATTCCTATTGCAGATTTCTGTCACCTGCGTAGCGGATCAGGCTCACTATTTGTTAAGGTGGCCATACACTGTACAACCATCGCAAGACTTTAGTCTTGCGATGGTTGTAAAGGGATTAAAAAAATGTACGATCTGCCCATCTTGGACGGGCAGATCGCACTCTCGATCATCGCAAGCCACGCCCCCTGAGGGGCGGGTTTGCGATGACTGTAATGAGGGGCGGGCTTACGCTGACTGCAAACGGGCAGTGTGCGCGTGTGCACACCAGCCCGTTCGGCAGTTGTCGAACCAGCAGGCCACCAACTCGCCGAGAATCGTACGATTCCCGGCGGGTTTTCAAACATGCTGGTTCGATGGAAGACGTGCGACCGTACAGTAGAAACGGTCGCATGCCTTCCATACACTGCACGATTCTCGTACGATCGCGGGATTTCCCGTGATTCTCGTACGAGAATCGTGCAGTGTATGGGCACCTTTTATGAAGAAGTCAGTCATGGGATTTTTAGTTGTGCTCTAGCAGAGTTGAAAAACCATCCATATGTGCCAGAACCCTTTCACTCAGGCTGATTAGGAGAGAATCGGTGCGGATGTTCACTGTGATATCCATGCTCACACCAACTTTCTTCCATCTTGCAATAGAGGAAAAGAACTCAAACTGCCGGTCCCCATGTCAGTCTATGGGGAGTCGGATGCAAACAGACATGTGTCCGTTTACATCAGATTACCCCCCCCCCATCCGGCATGATCTGGTCTGGTGAAACAGAATACTTGACCATTTGTTTTTTCCAGACCTGGCCGGAGTCAGGGGTAACCGGTTGTAAATATGGAAATATTCACACTGTTGCAGTATGTTAAAAGAGAAGTAATCCTAAACCTTTTTTGGCTTTACTTCTCTTATGGGTCACAGCTGTACATTTACAAATGTGTTTCTGTGACCCAAAGTCAGCATATAGCAGGCCACTGCCTGCTATACGCTGACAGTGCAGGGCTGCGCCACAGCGGGGAAGGACCCAACCATTTTGTTGGGATCCAACTGGATTGCTGATTGACAGCTGTGACTGTCCCCTTCCCTGTCTGTCCCTCCAGTGAGCGTTGCAGGAACAGAGAGGGGAAGGAGGAATCCCTGCAGTGGGGCAGTGACTGACAGTCCAAGACCATGAGCTGAGCAATCAGTGGTTACATGATTGCTGAGCTATCGGTGTATGTAGCCAGCATAGGATAACTGCAGTGTCCCCCACCGGCTCTAAGTATTAGAGTAAGTTTTACTCTCCCAATACTTCTCCTTTATTGCAGCTGTGTAAATGAGCATTTTTTCATGCATTGATTCCTCTCGGTTTGCTATCTAGCATATTAATTTTGAATGGGCTGTCAACGTACCACAGCATATGAAAAAATACACCTGCACTATTATTTGGCAATGCAGTGCACCACAATGAAAATTGCATGCATATATATACTGTATACATCTATGCATTGTAATAAGCTTTAGTGCTTTAAATATATGGAGGCAAGTCAAGCAACTAGACATATGTAACCTCTTAAAGCTGCCTTTTCTTTCCCTGTGCCTTAAGAGTTTAATTGCAGGTCTAAGCCAGTGTTCAGATTGCTTGGTTTATATTCAGCTTGACTTTGTCTGCGATGTTACTGCAGACCAGAAGTGAGAACGATGTAGGCGTCTACTACACATATAGTGAGTCACTAAGGTCAATTTACTAAAGAGAAATAGGATGTTCACTTTGCAAGGGAATTTGCACTTTGTAAAGGAAAATTCCCTTAGTTTAGTGAACGTGATGAAGCTCTGTTGAATTCCATCATCTAATCAAAAAATACTATTTTTGTTTATTTTTTCTTGCGTGTGATTGGGTATTCTTTGTGTAGAGCCCAAACTATTACTAAAT